ACGTCTCCAGTTTCCACGACAAATCTGATTTGCTCGGGTCTTTTTGTCTTCTAAAGCTTCGTATTCTTGGGCTAAATCTTGTAATTCCGTTAAGTTTCCGAAATCCCGGCGGCGAGCATAAAGCTTATATTCTGGTTACAAATTTTTGTATATCCTTTCGAGTTCTTGGTTTCTGGAAAAGGATCCTTCTCGTCTGATTAATGTTTGAATCTCCGTGATATATCTATCCACTGGTTCGTTTTGTCTCTGTTTTCTGTTTCAGATTTGCTCCTTTAGTTGTAGCAAATATCCTCTGGGATAGAAAGCTTTTTTAAAATCTTCGCTGAAATCTGTCCATGACTTCCAATTTTTGTTACTGTTTCTGTACCATAACAATGCGTGGTCTCCTAATAATTCTGGTAATGCTCTTACTAGATCTTGTTTATCGATCTCGTAGGCCAAGCTTAATTCGTCTAAGAATTCTATTGCATACGAATGTTTATTGTTGAAGTGGAAATGATGATTATTATTAGCTTGCACCTCAATATTGTCCTCGTCAAATATATAGTCCACTTCATCATCATCACTTTCTAGAATTAACTGTAATAATTCTGCTTCACTCAAACCCTTTCTCTCACAAAACATACTTTACTACAAATTAGCACAAAACCTCTCTTAAGTCAGATCAAAACTAATGGCACGGTCAACACTGTTTGTTGAAATTCATTACTCCAGCATAAAAATAAACCACGTCTATTTTTCAGTTTCATTGGTTCAACAATGATGTGATATGCACTTCCTTTAGTCACTTACGCCTACAGCATAGGACTTCTAAACAAGTAGTTAGCACTCAATAACTAATAACTAACTTACACAAGTGATTCATAATGCGAGCGTGTCACTCAATTACTTGTTAACAAGTGATTCGTACAGATGGCACAGATTTTATAATACTTGTATACAAGTACACCGCACTGAAAGGGTTGAGCAATCGGTAGTGGAAAACTGGCAAGATTAATAGAGTAACAGCACATCCAAATTACACCAAATACAATCAAAAATATTCCTATATAAAAAAGAAGAGAAAACGCAATAATCAGAAGAATAAGAATAGGTCACATTTGACTATTTTGTGAACACTGTAACAACATACACCATTCCATCCAGCATGTCCTACTTGAATGCAGTACTTTCTGTTCCATCCAATAACAGCATAATATTAGTGGTACCCTTGGTGATATCCTTAATTCACCTGGTTTAATGAACTCTAATTAGTTTTTTGAGAGACTGTAACTTACATGATTTGATATTTAAAAAGTTTGTGTATACATTAAAAGTACCTAACTTTTAAAATTTTAATTAACATAGTTTTTAGTTCCAGTGTCAATGACCATTAGTTGTTGAGATATGTAAATTTAAATAAAAAATACTGGAATGAGACCACCGAAACAAAATAGATTTTATAAAACAATCTTAAGGATAAGGCCAAAAAAGAGAAGGATGGATAGCTTTAATCAAAATTTGCAAGAATTGTTATAATAAATAATAAAAAAGCAAGAAGAGGATAGAAAAAACACAGTTAACTGTAGTGAACAAACCAAACCAAAATGCAATCAATAATCTTATTATGTAAAGACCCTAAAGATTTAAGGTGCTATACTTCTATTCACTGAACTTGTTCTAAGGTAAATTTAGTAATTATGTGCTGATCAAATTTTGACTTTCATCCGCTGATGAAGAAGTCATTCCACAATTGAACAAAAACAAAAAATACACTGGTATACATATTAATTTTCTAAATTTTATGTTGACCAAAACTATGAATTTTAATTCTGAAGAAAACAAAACCTAATCATGAAAATTTAACTTACTGATTGTATTTGGTTTCAATATGTGAAAACAGAAACAGATAAAATATTTATTAACCCTTTCGCTCATAGTGTATTCAATTGAATACATCAAATTCGTATACCTCTACGTACAAATTTAGCGGAAATTTTCCTTTAATTCCTGATATATTTAATATCAGTAATATTTAATTTTTCATATACGATATGTGTTGCCATCTATGGTTAAGTAGATGAACTTAGAAAACAATTATTGAGAGAGGTTGCTATAGTGACTTCGCGATCTCATTACATAACTTCCTAAATTATCAACTGGACATAACCTATGACAATATAAAATGTACTGATAGTTGTGTATTGTTGAGAAAGGTTATCTTTATGCTAATATTCAGTTGGACACTTTAGGTAATTAACAGTAATACGATTATTAGTATCTGAAGTTGATGTATTCAATTGCATACAGTGTGAAATAATAGACAATTGATGTTATAATTTGTTGTATTCAATTGAACACAGTGTGAACGAAAAGGTGAAAAAGTCATGGTAAGTAAAACCTATTTATTATTTTTTCTCAATAAGAGTAAGTATATTTTGTATTTTAGAGTACCAAACGTAATCTAAAAAAACCTTGACAGCAGAAGAGTTATTGGAAGAAATGGAGAAGGGTCTTTCGGACATCGACTGTCTTAGTGATGACGAGGAGAATACTGGATGGATGGATGATTTGAGTGATATTGAAGACCTTTTTGATCTGGAAAATGTCGAAGAAGGTGTTGGTGAAGAAGAGCATCAAACTGAAGAACAGGACAAGACATATGAAAATATTGAGGAAGTTGATGCAGAGTCAGTTGTAAATATACCCCAGCCAAGTACATCAGGTGTCTGTATAGAACCAGCTAAATTTCAGAAGGTAATAAAGAAGAAAACAAAATCAGAAAAACAAGAAACTATTCAAAAATTTATGGCAGATAATGAGTTGACACTGAAAAAAGACATTCAGTGGCGATCAGGGCTGGTTTACATTACACCGACAGTAAAATGGTACAAGAATACCAACAAAGATTTTATTGAATTAGAAAGCCCTTTTTATTTTTTTAGTCAATACTTTTCGAACGATATTTTTGAACTTTTGACTGAAAAGACCAATTTATTTGCAGTTCAGCAGGGAGTTAGATTTCATCCTACAAGTGTAGACGAGATGAAAACATTTGTTGGCATCCATATAATAATGGGTAATTTACACTATCCACGCATAAAATGTTACTGGCAATCAAAGCTAGAGATCCCTTTAATTGCTAATAGTATGCCTGTAAATAGATTTTATAAACTAAGACAAAATGTTCATATGGTTGACGTCACTAAAAACCCAGAAAATAGTGATAGAATGTGGAAAGTCAGACCTTTATATAATGCTATTAGACAAAGATGCTTATTACTTCCTTTGGAATCAGAATTATGTATCGATGAGCAGATGGTTCCATTCAAAGGTAGTCTTAACATAAAACAATATATTAAAAATAAACCCACAAAATGGGGCATCAAAATTTTTGCTTTGTGTGGCCGCAGTGGGTTGATGTATGACTTCATAATCTATCAAGGCTCATCAACAGAGTTCATACAAAATCACTCTGATATTTTTGGACTTGCAGGTGCAGTGATCTCAACATTGGCTAAAAGAATTACTGTAGCAAATGTTCAATTACATTTTGATAATTATTTTTCTAATTACAATATTCTTCAATATTTACGAAATAAACACATTTATGCATGCTGCACAGCTCGCGTTGATAGATTCCACAAACCACCATTTTCCAACGACCAAGTTATGAAACAGAGAGGTAGAGGAACTATTGAAGAACTGATAAGTAAAGATGGTGAAGTAATTTTAACAAAATGGTATGACAATAAAAGTGTTGTGTTGGCATCTAATTACATAGGTAAAGGGACACCAGACACCTGCAGGCGATGGGATAAAATACAAAAAAAATATATTGATGTCCCTAGACCAGAAGTCGTAAAGACTTATAATTCAGCTATGGGTGGTGTTGATAAATTAGATTTTTTGTTAACATTATATCGAACTTTTATACGATCACGAAAATGGACTCTTCGAATGTTTGCACACGGAATAGACCTTGCTTGTTGTAATGCATGGCTAGAATATAAAAGCAAAGCCACAGCACTTGGGATTCGAAAAAATGAAATTTTAGATTTATTGGCATTTAGAGCTTACATAGCAGAAGCTCTAATAAAAGTTAACAAATGCAATAATAAAAGAAGAGGACGACCGCTATCAGAGCAAGATTCTGAAAATACTTCTTCGACACCCAAAAAGGCCAAGTCTGAAACCAGACCAATTCCAGATGTCAGATATGATAACACAGGACACTTACCTTCTGTTGACGGAAATTCATATGCATCAAGATGTAAAAATCCTGATTGTAGAGGACAAAGTCGTATTATGTGTGTCAAATGTAACATTCACTTATGTTTGCAAAAAAATAAAAACTGTTTTTTGGCATTTCATAATAAATAAATAAAAGTTTGTAATGAGTTTTTATAATAACTACCAATTCTATATACAGAAATCACCATTTTATTTTATTTTACAAATAAAAATTTAATTAATCAATTTTACCTGCAAGTCACAATGTATACGTTTGGATACATACTATAACTCTTAATTGGGAAATTAGAAAATTTTGTAAATTATATTAAAAATCTTAAAAAAAATCATCTATTTTGTATCTTCAATTTTAGAATTTTTGTTTGTGAAACAAAAAGTCGTGAGCGAAAGGGTTAAATCAAATTAAAGTAAATTCAAAACGATATTTAGAAAATATAAATATGAAATAATCCGTGATTCGTAGTGATGAGGTTTGTATGTTACCACAAATTCTATACTATAGTTAGCTTTGTATCTCTGAAAAGAAAGTACCTTTTGAAATGATAAAAACAGGGTCTAGTCCAACAAGTATACCCCACGCTAACAAATATAAGAGTTGTTGACATGCCGCCTGAGTCAGATAGAAGAAATGAAGATTATTTTTGATTTACTTTTTTAATTGCTAATTGAGTGTAATGTTTTTCTATTTTTCACTACCCTTCTGAAAAATCTTATGTTATCTACAAAAAAAATAATACATATCAATCATCAAATAAAAAGCAAAATATATACACTATTAATTTATTTACAATTAAAATGATCTAATTATAATGACCAGTTTTTGTTTTCTTATTTAAATATTTATATAAATATCTAATCCTTTTATCTAATTGATACCATTTTGTTGGTCTAGCAAGAGGGTATGAAGTGCCAACCAAAGAGTTTCTCTTTCGTAACATAACTTTATATTCGTGACCACCCACACCTCTTAACCATCTTGGCATGTTATACAAAATTCTGGTAGGATGCAGCTTATCGTTTCCTAAAATATCTACATAATCATTCTGACCAAACAATGCCCTCTTTTCTGACCAGGAGTCTTTAGGTTTGTAAATCGGCATTGTAAATATTCTTTCTCCATCTGTTTCTCTCGGTAGCAAACCTTTCTGAAGCATTTGATCATCATAACCATGTCGTCTAATTATACGACCGTTGGCAACTTTCTCAGCATGGTATCTAAATCTGAGACATGTTACTTGAGCGGTATATGCCTGAATGTTATTTACAGAATTCCAAAATCCGCTAATACTTCTGGAAATAAGTGACATAGTTTTTTTACCGTATTTTTGTGTAATTTGAATTGGTCACTTTAATAAATAGGCGCAAAATAATGACATTAAATATTTTTTCACCTTTAATTTCTATAAAAATATTACAAATGAAATAAATAACCACAGTATCAGAATAACCTCAAAATTGTCTTTCTTCTTTTCGTATTTCGTATGGATGGATTTGCATTTGACCACATGACACATGTGACATTTTGTAAACCTTACGTCAGAGATATGGAAAAATGGAAATATGTAGTAGTGTTTCTTTTCTTTCCTGCAAATCACTGCCTTAAGTACTACCTGAGGCACTACCATAGAAAAAATTTAACAATATTCCGCTAATAAACCTTACATAGTTGATACCGAAAATTAAAAATACATAAAAATTATATAAAAAATGTTACAGAAGAGAGAAGATACTATTTTGATGAGGAATTATCAATTTCTGTCAGCAAATATTATTGCATTCAATTAAAATATTTGCTAACATAATATATATGTAATAAAATATTTTTTTTTCATTAGTTTCATATTAATGATATTCCCACACAGAATAAGCTGACTGTACAACCTATTTAATAATATTGCACGAGAAAACGCGCCTATGTATCACACTTTTGATTTTTGACATTAACTGAGATAACTACGTGTCAAAAATTGGATAGTTTAAATATTTTTACAACATATTTGATGTTAGGTAGGTAAATATATAATTATTTATTATTGATTACTTAACACCGTAAATAGATAACGTGTTAGTATTTTATAATACTATTAGATTGTAAACTTATGAGTACTTCAGATTAAAAGGTGTGTAATAACATTGAGTATTTTAATAGAATTTGGTTTAATTTATCTTTGCTTTTGCGTTTTAGACGTTCCCTTAAAGTCATCTGATCCATTAGATTTCGAGATGTCCAGAAAAAGAACAAGAAGTCATTCAGAAGAAATGAATTCCTCGCGTTCGCCCTTACAATTACCACACTTGGTAAGTCATTTCTTTTTCATAATTCAGAAAAAGTTTATATTATTTTATTTGGCTTGTATGTAGAAGAAATTGTTATTTATTGTTGCAACCAAAGCCAATATTGAGTCATTATTATATTTTATGTACTTAAATTATGAATCACACTTTTATTTAAAAATATCCATTTTGTAATTGATATGATAGTTCATAGATTTGTTAGTATTTTGAAAAATTCGATTTTATCATAAATTGAGACTAATCTACTGTATACATGAATATATGTACCAATGAAGCAATGAGTAGTGTCAGGAAATTTAACCCCATAAATACTCAATTCTTTAGGTATTTAAATAAGCAATATAAATGTAAAATGTAGTAAAAAGTTCTAGCATATGAATGCTCTGATTTCAAAATAGATTACTCCATACACTACATGCTAAATGAAAACAATACATAAAATGTTGAAGTTTAAACAATCTGAGTTAATAGAGACTGGATTGTTTTCAGTCATAATGTTCTCAACTCAGAGCAAAAACATATTTTGTGTTTAGTCTGTTTACATTCACATATAAATATGGTAAATAGTAGTCTGAATTTTCTTTATAACATTCTGTTTTTGTGCCAATGTGAAGTTAATTATTGTACTCTTTTAAATTACTAATAATTCAAGAATGTATTTAATAGTGTTTGTAAGTGTTCAAAAAAGATAATTTATTATTCAATAATAGAACAAAATGCCCATTAGAGGACCAGAGCCATTTTCAGAAGGCATGTATAATGTGATTCACTACAGTATGTAATATAATGTGTAAATTTAAGCTTAGAAAAACAAACCAACAAATTTTCTCTTAATCTACATAAGTATAACTAAAGAAATACCTGAGGGATTTTGAAAATATTCCTTTTACTTGTTGTTTTGGTTGTTGAACATATGAAATATACAGTTTATAAAAAAAAATAGCACAATATTTAGTTAATAAATAATGCTAGAATCAGCTTAGTGAAAAAGTTTATTGTATTTACTTTAGTCAAAATTAGTAGAGGTAACATGCAAGCAGTCTCACAAGCAGTGGCAAGAGTTTGAAATTTCAAATAAAAAAGTTTGTTCTCCTTTTCCCTTAATCTAGAAAATTCATTCCATTAAACACCTTAAAATACAATAAAAGGTTGACTTTTTTGTTAATCAAGTAAAAGTTAAATCAAATATCTCTAATCTCGATATTATTTACCTTTATTTAATTATTTGGTCATGAAAGAATTTCTCAGTGACTGTTTTTAGGTTTTAATTATATAAAATTCTCAATTTTCGAAAAATACAAAATAGTTATTAAAAGAAATCCAACACAATCAGTTATGTAAGTATATATGTATACAGATTTCTAAAAAGTAAATATTTTTTACCCTATTGACTTTATGAAAAATTAATAACAAACATATCTTTGATCAAACTGACTTTTGTCTTAATTACATTTATTTTTAAAAACATATTTTGCATAGTTTTTATTATTGTGAAGCAGTTTTTATTTTTCATAAGGCAGACAAATAAATACAAATTATATTTACAAAGAAGATATACTTGTTCTAAAGACATTTTTAATTTGCATATTATTAATGAAAGTGATTGATCCATACAAAATTAATGTTAATTAAAGTTTAATACATTTCAACATTTTTTTAATTCAAGATATACTTACTTATGTTGAAATTTTAAACCACCTGCAAACTTTTATTTACTTTCATCAACTTCTACCCCATATACTGCATGTATTAGTCCATTCATGAGAGATTTGATCTCTAAAAATGAGTGAAACAAACTGAATTTTGCTGATAATGTCAATTTTGGGACCTCAAAAATATACAAAAAATTTTCCTTTCTCCCCCTAAAACACCCCCTTGTAGGGGGGGGGGGATGAAATGTAAAAAACTCATTTTATCTGTAGAAAAAATGGTTTCAAATATAAAATGCAGCTGAGATAATTTTGAACAAAAATGTTTATTAACACTTTTTATGTTAAATGATGTGTTCTCTGAGGAACAACGCTTGAATCAACCAGCAATTTTGAAGGTCAGTTATGCCCATGAAATCAATTTTATATAGAATGTGTATCATTTCAGCAGTAAAAATTCAATATCTTTTGATCAGAGTGAAAGAAAATGCAACTAGGATTATTCTCAATAAATCCCATTCAGTTTTGAGTTTCAGTTTAATAGCCATTAATCCATTAATTAAATGGAAAAATGACAATACTGTATAATTTTACCAAACAAAAAAATTGGAAAGTTATAGTTAGGTTTTAGATGTATAGAATATTTTTTTATGTAAAAATAATAATAATTTAGTTCAAAATCGTTTCATTGTCTAACATTTAATTAGGCGTTTTATCAATGATGAGGCACATTAATGGATAAATGGATATGTCAACAAGCAAAAGGTACTCAGCTGCATTTTCATTTAGGGTTGAGCAGAAGTTTATATTTAGAAACCCCCTTAACCAAATGTTTAGCTGCCTAGGTGGCACCTAGGGTCCCCTATCTCAAAAAATGTGTTTTTTCAACAAAAAAATCCTGTGCGATTCTTGCCTTTAAAAACCTGAAAAAATTCACTTAACAATTTAATGCCTAAAAACTCTTTGATTTTATTCCGATTTTTTTGGATAAATTGAGCTCAACAAAAATAATGGAATTTTTCAAAAAAAATGTAGGTTATGTAGGTAATCTTTGGCAAACTTCCAAATATGTAATTATTTTTCATGTATTTTTTTCATTGTTTTAAGTGGCTGGGATAGATATGTCATTTTCTCTCGATAAAATTCTTAAAATTCGGAAAAACCAATTTTTTTGGATTTTTAATACCGGAATTAGGTTTGCCAATTAGGTTTGCCATTTTCAAACCAGAGCATGCTCAAAATATGACAAACCATCTTTTTTGATATTTTTCCCATGTTTTAAGCACATAACATCATTTAAATGTGACAAATAATGATTTTGTTTTGAGTGCTCCCGTCATTTATCTAGTGATTATTAATGCTCAAAAGCATATTGATTTTTTTCAGATTTTTTGGTAACCTCATTTAAATGTGATAAGTCAACGATTTTTGTTTTTCCTCCCCCCCTTTTGTTCGAATATTGATTATTATTATTTAAATATTTTCGTGCCCAAAAACACATTTTTTGGACCAAAATTGAGCTCAGGAAAAATATTTATATTTTTCAAAGAATTTTTGGGTCTTTCATTGGGATTTGCCATTTTCAGGCCAGAACATTCTTAAAATATGACAAACCCTCTTTTTTGATATTTTTCCCATGTTTTTAGCACAAAAAAATATGGTTTGTGTGACAGTTTTTTTATTTAATACAACTTATTTATCCATAAGCTTAATTTATATTACCTTTTTCGTATTTATAAATTAAGTTAAGGTAACTGAAAATAGCCCAAAGTTAACAGCTTATTATGCTAAAGTATTTAAACAAATGTGATACAGTAGGTGGTTCTGTAATCTAGCAGAAGCATCACATATTTTCTGTATTTTTTAATTTTAAATAATATGTTTAAAATTGAATAGTCATAAGTAATTTTATTATTTTTTTAGATTCAATACAAAAATTTTAACTCAAATACCTAACCAATTATGACACATCTTAATAATTTTTTTATTAAAATTGTTGAAAATATTCAAAGACTGCTTACATTTTAGACTCCTGTTTATTTGAAGGACCTATATATTCACCACATGTTTTTACAGCACTAGCTCACTATCTCCTGTAGGGTCCGGTTCTCATGTTGCCACAATTATTTACTATCTTAGCATTGCAAGGTATAAGTCAAAAATTATTAGATCAGCAAAAATACTGTCAGACTTATTTGTCGCATCACATACTATACATACTACAAATTCGAAATTAAATATAATTATTTTATTAAAATTTAATCCATAAATTATAATATTTAAATGATAATTACGACTCGAAAAAAGAGGAGGGGGAAACACAAATTGTTAATTGTTATTTAAACGGGGTTATGTGCTTAAAATATGCAAAAAATCACCTAAAAATGCAGTTTTTTCGAATTCAGAGTACCGATGTTTCAGTGTGGAAATGGCCAATATGACCCTGCTATTAGAAAAAATGGAAAAAATATCAAAAATTGATATTTATTGTTGTATTATTTATTATTATTATTATTTATTATTATGTATTAGTTGCGTTTATGGGATGTTGAAAATACCAAAAAAATTGTTTTTTTCGAATTTTAAATATATTTCCATTTAAAAGAATGGAAAAAAATACATGAATAATAATTATTTAGAAGTTCGTCAAAAATTACCTACATAATCTAATTTTTTTTTTTGAAAAATTCAAGTATTTTTCCTGAGCTCAGTTTTGATCCAAACAATCTGGAAAAATTAGACGTTTTTTGAAAATTTAAAATGTATGTTTGTGAATTTTTTCAGATTTTTTAAAGCATAGGATCGTTCAGACTTTTTTTTTCGAAAAAAACATTATTTTCGCGATAAGGGACTCCGGTGGCCACCTAGTTAGCTTAAAATTTGGCTAAAGGGGTTTTTTAATTAATACGTACTTTCAAGTGCTCAACCCCAAATAAAATTTCAGCTGAGTGCAGATTAACCATTCTATTCCGCTATAGCCTTTGGGATGTTCCCATTACAGATGAGATCCAAGAGTGTCCAATGCATGCTGGAAAAGTCACTGTTTGATGTGGATTTTGGGCATGTGGCGTCATTTGTCAATCTTTCATTGGCTAGGTCATCACCGTCAACGACAAGCGCTACAGGTCGATAATTAACAACAACGACATATGATGTCAACATTAAGGCGCTACATGCCACGTATCCCATGCCACATTGGGAATTTGTGGGCATAGTTATCTCACGTGTATATCATCTCAGCTGGCTACCTAGGTCGTGTGATTTGACCCCATTAGACTCTTTCTTGTGAGGTTTTCTTAAGTTGTAGGTCTAGGCTAATAAGCCTCAACTCATAACGGCCCTCAAAACCGACAT